CTTGAACTACTGAATTACATTTTTTCTTATATTCCTCCAATTTTTCATTTTTTAACCCCTTTTCTAGTGGAAGTATAATTCCTTCTTGATAAAGTTCCAGCATTTTAATGACCCGAGAAACTAAATTACTTAAATTATTAACCAAAAAAACCTGATAAAAGTCTTTTAATAAATCTTCATCACAAACTCCGTCTTGTAGAAAATTAATCTTAGCCACAAAGTAGGTCCGTAATAAATCTGAGGGGTATCTTTTTAATAATTCCAGCGGGTCAATAACATTACCTTTGCTCTTACTCATTTTTCCTTGGGGGGTAGTTAATCAACCATGGGCTAATATTTTGTTTGGTAAACGCTTATTTAAAGAAAAAAGAATAATGGGTCAATAAAGGGCATGGAAACGGGTGATTTCTTTCCCGATAAGATGAATAATTTCGCAAACATTAGGGTTATTAGTTATTTTTTCCAGCAAGTATTTGGTTACCTTATCTTGGTCTTGGGAGTTAATTTCCTGTATTTTGCTTATTTCTAAGAACTTAATTTCTCCAATCGTTTCTTTTTCTTTAATTAGTAATTCTCCCGAATATTTTTCGGTTCGATAAAAATAAAATTTTCATCAAATATTATTAATGTAAAAATTTTCTTCACCAATTTTTTCTAAATTCTCAACTGCTAAATTAGTCTCCTCAAATATTTCTCTTTTGGCGGCTTCCTCAGCATTTTCCCCTTTCTCTAATTTACCACCGGGAAATTGCCAATGGTTGTATTTTTTATTATAAACTAAAAGGTATTCATTATTTTTATTCTGGATAACCACACAAGCGACTTCTTTCGCATTGTCGATTTTCTTTTCATTAGAAACTTCGGAAAGGAAAAATTTTTCTCCTGGCTCAGAATTAAGATAATTAAGCAAGGCCTCAAACCAAACATAAATCACCATTTTCTCGTGGTTGGGGACGGGGATGCCTCAGGTAATATCACTTCTGGTAATACATAAATCCCGGATATCATTTTTGAGAAAATTTT